GGGGCCGGCCCCCGCCGCCTCTGGGCTTTGTGCGCCTCCCCCGGGGCGGCCGCCGCCGCCTCTGGGCTTTGTGCGCCGCCGCCTCTGGGGACAGACGCAGCCGGGGAGGGGTTTGCTGCACTAAACGATGTTTGTTTAGAACACCCCGTTCGGTTTCACTGAGAACAACCAGCCCCCCAGGCCCAGCCCCCTGCTGTTCGCCTCTGCGGAGAGACCCGGGGGAAGGGCCTCGGGGCCAGGAACGTTTCAGTACCTGGGCTCCTTTTCTCCTCCACGGTTCCTCGTGATGTAAATTCTGCTCGTCTATTTCTTCTCCATCCCACTCCAGCAATGGGAGCCGTTGTTCCCAAGAGTGACTGTAGTGATCTGCTTTCATGCCGTAGCTTTCTCCAGAGTGTGCAAATCATGCACTGGGCTCTTAAGGAATTAGAGAAAGTAGTTACTTTCTCATCTTCCTAATTCCCAGAGCCCCCTGCCAGAGTTTAGCCCAATCTCTGAGAACAGGGTTTGGGAACCCAGACAACAAAAAGAAAGGTAAATTTAGCGTTTGTTCTGTTGACAGGGGCAAGAAGTGGTCATCCCAGACTGGTTAGAAGTGAGAGGCAAGTTAGAATATCAAATAAGCAATGGGACCTCCATTACTGCCTTTAAAAGATTGAGATACAGAGAGGCTAGGAGGAGACAATAGGGAGCACCCACCTGACCCCCACTAGATGATTACAATAATCTGTTGGATCTTTGCCTCTCAGATCTCTAACGCTGGTCCTGGTAGACAGGAGCTATAGAGTAACTCAGGTTCAATACCTCCTAAAATGTAGAACAGCATGACTCTGTCAAGCAGTTTCAAACATTAATATGTAAATAGAGAAATATAACACCTGATTCTCTTTTTGATTTAGCCTGGAACTATAGAGCAGGCAGTAAATGAGATTCGTGTTGTTGTGATGCCCACTGAAGATGGAGAGGTACAAAGTGTGTGGTTGCTAACAGAGTAAGTAACAGTACTAATAGACAAATGGAACTTTTCTCAGCTTTTCAGGATAAGATTTTTCTCCTGGATCTGCACACTTATTAAAAATGCTCTTGCTAGCTGTGTGAAACCTCACAAGTAATTGGAGTAAAGCTTTCTTGTGCAAATCTGACAAAATCATGTCTTTAGTATACAATTGATCCAGCAACATTTATCTTAAAACCAAGTTCTTTTTACTGCATGTTTTATATATTGATGTATTGACTCAGTGTTTGTAAAATGCTTTTACAAATCACTTAAAATCCCATGTTTGCCAGTATATCCAGAACTCTCCTCAGTTAGTCCACCATCTGATTTATTTATAAATACAATTGCTTCATTTACCTGCTTGCTTTTTTTGATCAGTTTAAACCTGGTAAATGTCTTAGTTCTGGAATGCAGTATAGTTGTACCCAATAAAAGATATTCGCTCACCCACCTTGTGTCTTAGTACTGGAATAGAATATATAATAGACTTGGCTTTATCAAAAGCCCAAGCCATTAATTGTTTGAATGAAAGGGACTCTCAATCTTGGTAAGACTCCAAAATTAGTCCCATGTCCTATTAAACAAATTATTGCAGCCTATATTTTAATATCCCTCCTAAACTCTGTTGGGAGGGACCAAAAGATAGCTCTGTGCTTAGCTCCAGGCACTTCACAGAGCAAGGAAAGTTGTCAATTTCAATCCTGTGCCTGCTAGTAAGATCTGAACTGGCAGAAGGTAAGATGCAAGTAGCTGCAGTTCAGGCATGCTTTGGTTGGCTACTCAGCCTATGAATTTTATTTTATTTTTTAAAAGAGGGGAGCAGTTTTGGTCTAGTCAGCTTTACTTTAACAGTGCCTCTTTTTAAAGCATCATACAACATTTTGTTTTCTCTGAAAATAACACCAACTCTACCATCTGTTAAAGCTGCATTTTAATGCACTGTTTTGAATCCTCTAAAGAGTCAATGCCCCCTCAGTGGTGATTAAGGGTGAAAGCCATAGTCTACTTGAGACTGCTACAATAGTTAAGTACTAAAGAGCCAGAAATGGAGAGGCACTGATGTATTGGAGGCAATTGTTTCACCTATGCATATAGAAACATGGCCTATGGTCACTGGTATTTCCAGCAAAACAGTAAGCTGTATTAGAATTTGTTGGCCTTCATTGTAAAAGTTGTAGATTTGTGCTACTTCTTGATTTGTGTAAGCATTAAAACATTACAAACTGATTATATATTCATCTAAAGCTTTTTCCTTAATCTTTAAAACTGTTAGTAGTTTCCTATATTCTGTGTATTTGAAACATGCTTTCAGATTCTTGTCAATCCTATATAAAAATAGGAATGAATGGGAAATACAGCATCACCATTATTTTAATTTTCTACAGAACAATACTGCTGTTGCTTAAATAATTCTCAGTTGCTACTGTATTAGTCAAACTACTACATGTTTTAGTCCAGGGGTCGGCAACCTTTCAGAAGTGGTGTGCTGAGTCTTCATTTATTCACTCTAATTTAAGGTTTCGTTTGCCAGGAATACATTTTAATGTTTTTAGAAGGTCTCTTTCTACAAGTCTATAATATATAACTAAACTATTGTATGTAAAGTAAATAAGGTTTTTAAAATGTTTAAGAAGCTTCATTTAAAATTAAATTAAAATGCAGAGCTCCCCGGACTGGTGGCCAAGACCTGGGCAGTGTGAGTGCCACTGAAAATCAGCTCACGTGCCTCCTTCGGCACACGTGTGCCATAGGTTGCCTACCCCTGTTTTAATCAAACTACTACAAGAAGGGTAGAAGATTACCAGTGTTTACTGTTTGTCTTACCAGAGTTGACCACTGGAACAATGAGAAGGAGCGTCTGGTTCTTATCACTGACTGGTCCCTTCTGATCTGTAAATATGACTTCATCAGCTTGCAGTGCCAGCAGGTTACTAGAATATCACTCAGTGCAATTGACACTATTTCTGTGGGAGAATTTGAGTTCCCACTTAAATCACTGAATAAGTAAGTTTTGATTTTTATTTTTTAGTTTCTAATGATACTGCTAATGTTAAGGCTATTAGTCTATCATTAGCGATATATCAAGTTTGATAGCCTTTCCATTTATTTGTATTAGTAAAGGTTTTTGATTTTGCTGTAATTAAAGAATTGAAATTGGTTGATCAGGAGGGAAGCAACATTTTTAAAACAGTTACCATTTATACTGAAAACAGTTTACTTCTGAAATTTTTTATAACATGGACTATACTTTATTTTGGGGAATGTCTTTGTAAGCACTCCAGTAATTTTATTTTAATTGTTCAGTGTTAGCATTTATATTAGAAACTTGTAAGTAAATCCGATTATGTTGAGTATTAGTCTAACCCTAGACCATATACTAGGATGTATGGAAGACTCGTATGTTTAATTTTAATAAACTTAATCTTTCATACAACTTGTCATTTAAACAATCTTTACTTAATTTGGGAGCTGGTATAAATAACTGATTTTCAAGGTGTTTATTATAAACTATGCTGATTTGTTTAGAGACTACTTATTACTATCTAAGAAACAAGCGTTAAAATTCTAAAATGGACTTTAGTTTTCATTAAGGTGTTCAGAAATGTTTCCAAAAAAGCAAATTAACCTGCTCTGTAAAGAGCTTCAAGGCCTACCCTATCAAATATGTGGTGTCTTCAAATTTGGTAGGCGAGAAGGCATTGGTATTCGAATTCAATGGGATAAGCAAAGCCGTGCATCCTTCATAAACCGATGGAATCCATGGTCCACAAATGTGCCCTATGCTACTTTTACGGAACATCCAATGGCAAATGCTGATGAGAAGATTGCATCCCTTTGCCAAGTAAGGAAGTTTTCTATACTGTTAGATATACAGATTTATATCTAATAGATTTCCATACTGTATTAGGTATAAATCACATTGATGATTTAAGCTGGCTTCAGTTCTTAAAGTCATTTTCAAAAGAAGGTAAAATTCTTATGATGGAAGCAGAGAATAAATGTAAAGAGACTGGCCAAGCTTTTTCTATGCTCTCCATCTATTTCAGCAGGGTTGCTGCTGCTTGCCTGTTGCTAGAAGTCAGGCAAGTCTTCAAATCATGTTCATATAGTGAAAGAGGTTGCAATGATTTCCAAATTTCCAAAAAACCTGAAGCTGAAAGAGGAAAACATTTCCTTAAACAGGTAGAGTTTTATCAACCTTCTTTCCTGGGAAGAGGTCTAGGCTTTACCTAGAGTATTTGTACCTTGTAATTCTAGAAGAATCCTAGTAAATTGTCAAGTATCAGGGGGTAGCCGTGTTAATCTGTATCTACAAAAACAACAAGGAGTCTGGTGGCACCTTAAAGACTAACAAATAAATCTGTTGGTCTTTAAAGTGCCACCAGACTCCTTGTTGTTCTAGTAAATTTTGTAGTTAAAAAAAGCCACTGAAATACGTGTGTGCATAGGAGGGGTATATATTTTGTTTTTTTTAAAAGAGCCCTTCAAGTGAAAGTTTATTTACCCTAAGACAATTGGTTGTGGACACAGTTGTAGAGCTAAGCATTTAATATTATAAAAATTACTGTTATAGCTGATCTTTATGCAAACGTCTCATTTAGGAAAGCATGTTCTCATTTGAAACTGCACCTCTACCCCAATATAACGCGACCTGATATAACACGAATTCGTATATAACGCAGTAAAGCAGTGCTTCAGGAGGGCGGGGCTGCGCACTCTGGCAGATCAAAGCAAGTTCGATAGAATGCAGTTTTGGCTCCTGAGGACAGCGTTATATAGGGGTAGAGGTGTACTTGCATCAGTAAATGCTAGCATGTGGAATTTATTATAGGATGCATGTAGTCTTATGTATAACAATTACAACTTTATATACATGTCCGTAATCTTCTATTTCAGCAGCAGTGGCTCTTTTATGTATAATTCTGCCTTTGTAAGCAAACTAGCAACAGCTTTTCAAATAATGGGAAAACATTAGCTGATTGTCAAAAGTAGAGCAGGTCTATTTAAAATGTTTTTTTTCCCCCCCTTAGTTGGAAAACTTTAAGACTCAATTAATCCAAGCTGTGAAGAAGGCCCATAAAGAGTGTCCGTTGCCAGGGAGGGCCAATGGAGTACTAGTGCTGGAGCGTCCTCTTCTTATTGAAACTTACGTGGGATTGATGTCTTTCATCAACAATGAGGCCAAGCTTGGCTACTCCATGACAAGAGGCAAAATTGGATTTTAAATTCATTGTAATCAATCCACTTAAAGGGAAAGTGATTTGAGATTAGTATCATGGGCAAAGAGTTGGGAGAACTCAGTACATGGCAGAAAAGAACAAAAATGAATAAAATGTCAGATAAAAGGGATTTGTTAGTTGCAGAATGAATGACTTTCACAGAACAGTCACTACTGTTATGAAGCTCATAGATGGCTAAGTCAGGTATTGAGTTCAGGTGGTCACGGGGTAGTTGCTTTCTTAGAGTACCTGGATTTATCTTACACTGTCACTATTTGTATGCAAGTCTAGTGAGCAATGATATTTCCTCTTACATTTCTAGCTAAAGGTCTTTCCTTACTAAATATGACTTATCTGTGACAAATATTCCATATCAATATCCAATGTAGATACGGTGCATGTTCATGCCTTATAGCTATATTTACATAAGGATTCAATTGCAATGAAATTATTTCATGTGCAGTTGAGACTGATTTTATATTGGCTAAGAAGGTACTAATGTCTAGACTATGGTAATCTCAGGAATTTAATTCAGTGTCATGAATTTTTAAAGAACTGTCATTCTTTAGCAAAGACAACTAATTCGGTCAAAACTAGAGTGTTATGCCTTCTCCTAACCAGTGGAATTGAACAATTACTTTGTAAATTGAAGTGTTTGAGTAATGTTACTGGTCTCTTTTAAATAGCTATCAAACCTGAATCTGTATAATTTGTAGGTTTACCTTATTTAAGGCTTCTCTTTTCAGCCATCTATTAAAGAAATATCTTAAAATAGAATAGCCAAAAATTTCAGACAGTTAAAGGATATCTTTGCCTTCCTATGGAGTTACTTTTAATGCAACATGGGAATGGTAGTTTTATAATTAAAGGGAATTCTACTTTGAGTAGCTTTATATTTCCTTAGCAAAAGTGTATTTTGTTTTGTGTTTTCATTTAGTAATACATAGACCAGATTAGAATAGCACCAACAAAGTTTTTGTAACCTATGTGGCCATGTAGTTGTTGGGGAGAGGGGAAGCTTTAGTATTGTGTTCAGTCTTATGTAATCTTCCATTTAAGTTTGTAGAAAGTAAATTCAGTAGTACAACTAACTTTAAATGCAGCAGTATATAAAGATACTGAACAGAACTACAGCATGAGATTACTGTGACAAGTTTCACTGTAGATAAATCCTTTATACAGACTATCTTAATATATAACTTTAGCAGAAGCATTTCTCTGCCCCTCAACATGTTAGTGATATGCTGTGCAGCAGTGGAAGTGGTATGTTAAAATATTTTTTTACCTTTTAACTTGAAATAAACTGTATGTATGTTCTTTTTGAATGGCTCTGGAATGCAACCAGCTGCATGTTCTTGTCAATATGGGCTCTTTTCTAAGACACCAGTGTCTAGCATTTGTTAATCTTGCAGTAAAGATAAGTTTAACCATCTTTGTTCTCTGGTTTTTAGTTGGTAGAACACTAGATGTTGTAAAAGCAGGAATATAAACCCTCATGCTTTAGGTCATAAACCAAGCAAACTCATACGGAGTAGAAAAAATAATCTGTAGTAAGTAATTTATTGGGGCATCTGGTGTTGACCAAGATGGACTACCTCCTCTTCCCCAAATCGTTATGGAATTATTACACACACCTTCCATTCCATCCAATTTGATACTCCACATTTCTGTGATTAAGTCTCTTTAAAACAGCTTATGTGAATCCTCTCCCTGATGCTGGTCTCTTCTCACAACTAAAGCAGGTGTGAGTGAGGAGGAGACTGTCATGGGGTAAGAATCTCACCTGTCCTTTTTTCAAATGCTATTCTACACAATCCTCTATAATTTAGAGGAAGACAGTTCAGGCTCTGATACGATACCAGCTTAACATTTTAGTTGGTAAAGAAAACTGGTTCTCACACAGTTGCACTTGATGACTTAACACTTATTCATGGCTAAAATGATAATAAAATAACTGCCTTGTCAGAACTGCAGTTACTGATTCCTTCCAAGTATTCAGGGTCTAACAACTATATGCATTTCATTCCATATTTAATTCTAATAGAATAGAGCACTGACTGTATTGAGTGACCTAAACGCAAAGACTGATCTATGAACTTGTACACTACTCCATGAAAATAGCTGGAAAATTGCCTTTTATTCTTTCTTGAACCTTGTGTCCTTGGGGTATGAGGATTGATGTACAATGGTATGCAGTTAGTCACTGTCCACTTGGAATCAGGGTGACAGCAACAGTGATATGTACATGTACATTTCAAACCTCAGTTCCAGCTCAGAATATGAATCTAGAGGATTCTACGTTTAGGATAGTGCCAGGTTGATAGATTGTAGCCACACTAGCAGAAGCTATCAAAATGTTTATTGACATTTATACAAATTAAATAACTTCTATACACTATTTACAAACATACCATTTTAGAAAATATTTTGACAGAAGTTCAAAATAAGGTTTAACTCTTTGAACCCTAAAACTTCATAAAATCCAGACTGCTAGTTTCCACAATTTTAGTTGCAAAATGAAAGAGCTCTTTCTAAATTACTTTGTCGAACACACTTCATTCAAGTAACTATCACAGTACTTCACCCAAGGGAGTCTTCTTACACTCCCCCAAACATAAGATTTGCTATTAGTACAAAATCTCTTCCTATTGAACAACGAGGGCCTGCCCATTCTTATCTGTTCCATATAGATATAGCAGCACTTTTTCCACAAAGATCTATTTGCAAAGTAGGCTTTTCTAGCCTTGGGGGCAGAGGGAGGGGTTCCTTTATTAGCTCTTATTTTACCTCTTCTCTTTCCAAGTAGCACATGCAAAAATTATCCTTACTCAAGAGTGCCATAGAATCCCCACTAGAGTGCCAGCAAAGCGAGAGGACCTGGAAGTCACCTGCAGATACAAATTAAAGAAATAAGTAGCAAGAAATCAAGAGTTACAATAATTCTGTTCCAGAAATCTTCTCTCACTTGGAGTAGCTTAGTCATTTCATCAGTAAGAGATAAGAGGCTTGAGTGAAGAGAATTTTGTACTGTACATACCATTGTAGTTGAGCTTAACCATATTTTATTGCAAGTAAATATCACAAAATTGATCACTGTTGCAAAGATCTGCAACCAGACACTGCAGGTAGTAGTTCTTCCATGGAAGAAAATGTTAAGCCAAGAAGCATGCAAAAGGTTATATTTACTATAATATTGAACTTGCAAGCAGAAGAGATATTTGTAAAGCAATTAGCCAGCTAATATTACAGTCCACTGAAAGATCTTACTGTGTACCTGCATATTGGAATAGAGGAAAGGATAGATAGGAACCTTAACTCTGCCTTTTTGAAGTAGATTTAAGATTCAGATTTCATGTTACTTTTTGTGGTGCTTTTGGAATTTTAATGTTTAAAGTACCCAAAAGTATGGTAGGCACTATACAGTTCTTATTTTGGCATACCAGACAGCTACAGCGTCCATATAAAATTAATTGATATGAAAGCAAAACCTTAAAGTGTTTCTATTTACATGTCAAATTACCATGCTAGGGCAATAACTGAATTACCTTAGATGTAAGCTTTGTGCCATTCTTCCCTACATTCAAGAGATTATGGGAATATGTGACTAAGTACCCAAAATGTTTGATCACTTCAAGCAGTCAAAACATCACTATTTATCACTAACAGTACAATAATTTATTAATATTAATTAAACAAACTAATGATTCTGACTTGCAGCCGTAGTTTTAGGCGGCCTTACCTTCCATTGGTACCTGCACTGACACGCACCCTGCTGGGGACCACAGGTACACTTTGCTATTCCCAGTGCATATGGCAAGTCGAGGTTGATGTGGATCCCACTGGAACAACTGAACAGCATACAACTGCTCCAAGACTACAAACAGTTTCAGCTTTTGAACATCCCAGATCCAGATGGCATTAGGAATGTTATCTGTTGGAAATGGTTAGAATACTGTAAGGAACACAACACTATATGCAATGTTATTGCAATCTCTCACATTAAATGGGCTTCACTACCAATAGCCTATCTAAACTACTGCTTGCAGCATTGGTGCAGAAAAATCTGGGCAACTAGCACTGATGATTCATAACCTTACAAGACACTTAACTCATTATCCCTTTAAGAAATGGAGAAAGGTGACATCACTCGGAATGTGTGCAGAGGGCTTGCAGTCTTAACTACAGTACAGCAGTACTCTGGCAGTGCGCCTTCCTTGGGGAAATTGCCACTACGACAAAAAGAGTAATTCAATCTATAGAATTTTCCTTCACTGGCTTTTCTAAAACTACATAGAGATGCCATTATTGGTGGGTTCTATCATGTGAACATTTCTCAGCTAGGAACTGGATTAAGACCCCACCCTTCCACCAGTTTCATAAGATTTTTTTTCCCTTTGATAACACCTTAGCACCAGGGAATGCTATATCCTGATATACAGAGCTCCAGATCTACAAGGGAAAAGGTTACATAAAAAGTCCAGAACTCCCACAGTTCTTGCTAATGCAAAATTAATTACTAATATTTTGAAAAATTCTGAAAATGACTTGTGCAGGGAGGGGAGAAGAGATGGATTTTGGCCAAGATTATGTATACAGTATAGTGAGCTAAGGTAAATATGAAGGGAGATAATTTAGCACATGGTACTTAAAGCCAAGGCTATGAGTTCATGCAGCAATTAATAGCTGGTCCCACAGCTTAGTGGTTTATGCTAAAGGTTGAAGTCCTCTGTGTACAGTGCTAGCCTCAATCCCTACTGGGGCCTCTAGCTGCAGCCAGAATACAAATAATTCACAATTAAGTAATTTATTTGTTTATTTATAGCAGAAACAACAAAATCTAGATAATACCAAAAAGGTTTCTCCTTTAAAATATAGCCCACTAGGTACTAACCATTTTTGGTTGCCAGGAAACAGTTATCTGGACTAAATGCCAGCATTCCAATTCCTATTCTGGGATTTGCCCGATCAGCAACCGGTTTGACATACTGTAAAGAAACTGGTACCTGGGAAATGTCATCTGAAATTTGAAATAAAAGCACTTTAATAAGCAAGTCCATATGGACTTGGCAGTAATATTTCTAACTTAAAACAGTTAAGTTATCTCTGAAATGATAGGAAAATAGTAATATACTGCAGATCTTTACAAACTTTGTCTCAACATACCTGTCAGATAGTATTTCTCCTTTCTACAGAAGGAAAAACAGGTACACAAGAGTCTGAGACAAAGCTATGAATACAATCAAGATCTCCTAACTCTGACTCATGTTTTATAACATTTCACATATTAACACCCATGTAAGACAAGGGAATAACGAAGTTGAACTAGTTAATGATTGTTCAGCACTATAATAGTATATACTGATATTTGACACTCAAATATCGGTAGTATTAAAGAGATCAGGGACTGTTGTCTGAAAAAGTAAAGGTGTTGAATTTTTTAATAATTCTAATTTAAGTTCAGAACTTGTTAGAGAAAAGTAATGTACCCTTCCTTATGTAGCCACCCGTTTCTCCACCTGACCATACAAAAAGGCAGGGTTTCTATCCTCAATACAGGCAGCTAGAGAGGCTTTAGGTTGCCATATCTTCTGAATTGTTTTTTTTAAGTGTGAAATTCCCATTGATTGAAGCCTCCTACAATAAGATGACTATCTACTCTGCATTATCTGCAGCAGTTAATATAATTCTAGACAAGAAATATCACTGTTGCAGAGACTTAAACCAGCCAAAAATCACCCTGTTCTAAGGCACATTTTGCACAAATAAAACAACAACATTAGGCAGGGCTGGGGGTTGTCTATCATGTCTACCCACACTCACCCCCAAAGTTTGCCATGCCTCTCCTGGAGCCCTTCATTGCCCTTAAGTTAAGATCTTCACCTTTAGCCCCATTCTGCAACCATCATCCTTTCTAGCTGAGGAAACCACATCCTTTGAGGTCTTGCATTTAATTGAATGGGCTTCCCCTTAGCAACTTAAGTTTTGCCCCTGCCTTCAGAGGCAAAGTGTGATATAATGTTGCTTTACAAGGCTTAAATATTTTACATCACAGGTATTCTAAAGTGGTTCATTTTAGTTTGCTTACATTTACTCTGTGTGCTGAAGAGAGAGCTGGCTTGTGCTCTGGCTGGAGGGAAGGCAAGGCTCTCTGTTTCAACTCTTGGGGATTTCTCCATTTCCTTATATACAATCTGTACAGAAGGAGAAGACAGTTTCACAAAAGGGCCTAGCAAGATTTGAACCTAGTGTGTTGAGTCCTCCACATCCCGTGCTGAAAATGAGCATTAAGGCACATTCATTTTAAATTTACAGTGTTTCTCAATGCTCCTTGCTATTGTACACTGGGAGCAGGCAGATTTGGGCATGGAAATAGTGAATTTTGAGACCTGATGGTGCCCATATTTGAAAATTGGGCCCACAATCAGAAAAAGCAATTGTGTACTACAGAAATGGACAGTGTATGGAACTTCAAATAATCCAATTGTTGTCATTAGAGATCCTATGTAAAATGAGTCAAACAGAATGCACCTTCCTACCCCTTACCAACTGAAAGTGAATTTGGGAATATAACTGCAATCTTTAGTACAGCCGGACAGTTTTTTTTCTGATAACACATGCAATATTTCATTCCATGCCATTGAAAACCACTGCAAACAAGCAATGTTAATGGGATAATGCTAAAGGAAACAGTGATGAAATGCTAACAATGTGACTAAATTGGAGCTCCTAATCTAACTATCAGCAGGAGCTCTCGTCTTTCCAATGGAAAGGGACTGAACTATTTCATTTGTTTCTCATTCTACCTCTCAAGTTTAGATTTTTATTCTTAATTCTGAATTTGAAGGATAACTAATACATTTGGGTGCTGCAGCACTTAGTCTGGCAGCCAGATTTATATCTAGAATGCTTGAGTCACATTGACCAGAAGAGAAAATAAAGAGCAATAATGAAGACAGCTATCACAGAACCAGAACTGTTTTCTAGCAAGGAGACATTTTACTTAAGCATATTCTGCCTGGCAGATTCCTTGATAAGCAACAATGATAAATTAAAAAAAAAAAATCATCTAAATCTAAGTCTGCACACCACAAACACTGATCCTTAATATAACATTATGTCAG